TGATTCATAAGTTAAATTTCGAAACGAAAATCCAGAGAGTGTCTTCGTAAGTTCTCGAAAGTTGAAGACTCAAAGTTTACAGTTCGTTAAAAATACAACAACGGTCTGTTCTCGATTTTAAATAAATTGTCCATGAAAGTGGTTTTCAGAAATGCTCAACAAGCGCATGACAATCCGAAAAACAATCCGGTCATCCAACAACAGAACCACGCTGAAATTATTCGAGTAGATCACCTACCGACCGGTTTCGTGGTATTACCTATCCCTAAGTGCAGGAAAGATACGACCCAAAGTGCCTGAGGACCTAAAGTGCCTAGGACTTGATTGACTTCAACCGACCATCATCACCGACAGCCATCTTCAGTTCAATCAGGTTGGAGCCTAGCTCCCTTACCCTTGCATATGATTTTGTTAGAAGGACAAATGGGTTTATGACTAAGAAGTGGTGGCGGTATGAAAGTCCTCAGACATCAGTACCGCCCTTCACGGTGTACCCCTACCTGGCTGGGGTGGGATGGATGAGGAAATTGTTCAACCGTTAACGGGGGACATGAGGGCCTCATGTCTTCCGTTAGCTTCCCTAGCTAACGGATTTTAGTGAGTTTACGCACTATCAAAATCTCGCCGATTTCTCGACTGAATGGACTGCTGAATGGAAAGCAGCTACAAATTTGCTCTGGGAATGGCTTCATTGCGCACGAAATTGACTTCAACGCGGCTCGACTGCATGTATGAAACCTTCGTCTAAGGGAAATATTGTTAACTAGTAACAACTCCATCTCGTGAACAATGCCCCAAGCGGGGAAGAAACATCCCATGTACCAACATTCCAACAGGGATCAAACAGTGTCTGAAGACTGTATCGAGGAAAGATACATACCCAGCTACACCGTAGGTTCTGGTGAATGCCTGCCGGAAAACAACTACTTCCGGGCTACTGCCACGAGGGATATTGAATTATATTCATGGTCATACATGGTCCTGCTGCTGGAGGTACCAAGCAAGACATTTTATCTCGAAATATTAATTTTCTAGAAAAAAACCTGTACTTGTCATTATAAAAATACACCACTGTCATTGTCAGTCCATCAGTATGTGTCCTGACGACAGAAAAACAAGAAAAAAAATACAACTGGAGTACTACCTTAAAATAATGAAGATTAAAATTTTAATAAAATTATCTCCACAATTTTTTTTTCTAATCCTGCGACATTTTCCCAGTGTAAAATTGTAATAATTACCTGGCACTGCATTTTTCACGACTTAAAGTATTAATTCATCCTTCAACAAAGCAGTCAGCGTGAGTCATCATTTCTACTAAAACAGCATAGCATTGAGCATTGTGCTTTGTTTCTCATGTCATACCTGCCATAAAATTCTCTATCACATCATCAATCTGCTTTGATAATGCCTTTTCACTTATTTAGATTGCGGAAACATGAGGGAATGAGGTTCATACTGACTACGTAAAAGGAAAAGATGTATTTATTATATTTCAGTTTTCAGTTACTCCAAGAACAGCAATAAAAACTGTGGTATAAAGATATCAATAATAAATAATAAGCTTAAAATTGAGGTGATGTTACAAATTTAAAGTGTCACGGTGTATGAAAATCTACTGAAGAAGATACAGGTAAGTAAAAATAAGAAAATGCAAAGTAAAATTAATAATCGTAGTATGATCACAACATCAATGAAGAATAAAAATAATAAAATTTTATTAAATTTCCTTCAACGACAACTGATATTTAAGGAGTAAGCCTCGATTTATAAACAGTGCAAATTGTACAGGTCATAATATTAACATAAAGAAATAGTTGTGAAATATAACAGTCTCACATTTTGATTCCATGTTAAATCAACCCGTTTTTCAGTTATAACTATTTCAATTTTCTGAAAAATACCTAAAATCACTCAGGCAGACATTTATTCAAATTGCAATTGCTCGTCTCCTACTTGATATACGGCTTTGGAAGGGATATAATTTTTTTTCAGTTTTTAATGATCCTTCATATGAAATGAAACATACAGTGTGTCCCAGCTGAAACTTGCCCCCCCTAATCTGCTAACTCGTGGAAAAAATTGATAATCGCACAGACCCGTCGATTTTCATTCAAAGGGGGCAACACTTTCACCAAATTGTCAACCTCCTCTCAGCATCTCACACTTCAGAATTTTCAATGGGACTATTATACTTGTGATACATCATTTTGAAGGGAATTCAATTCATCGGTGTAATGAAATTGAGGATCGATCAAGTGTTATTGAAGTTGCAATGAAAACTAAGTCTTATCAAGATATCAACACCTAAAATGTTATCATCGTAAGAAAGGTTCACTGTAGTACGCCACTGTATTAAAAAATAATATGCCTTCGGAAATAATATTTTAGAAGGTGAGACAGACGTTTGTGTTTTTGTATACGAATATCTTTGTTTGAACCTTGGTACATTGATGTATTCGATTCACTTCATTCAACAATTTGAAAACTATCTATACAAGAGATAATATCCATTGTAGCTGCATATTTTGACAATGGACGATGTGCTAGAGCTACGGCTCAAATTTTCATGAAGTTGGGATCAGTGAAGCAAAATTCCATCCTTATAAAATGCAGAATGTACAAAAATAAAGTGAAAATTATCCTGACAGACGTACAGAGTTTTGTGAAATCATGAGTAGATTATTGATTGGTGATAGTAATTACCTCTTCAATGTGTGCTTTTTTGACGAATATTCTTCTTACACGCTTTATATTAGCTTCACCTGTATGTATGTATGTTTGTTTGTAACTTTCAAGCTCGGGATCTGTATTGACAGAATTATCGGCATTCTTGCTTGATCTATTCGTGGGCAGATGGTGCTGTACGTAATTATCAATTATTGCTTAATCTGTTTGCGGGCAGATGGCGCTGTACGTAACTATCAATTATTGCTTGAGCTATTCGCGGGCAGATGCCGCTATACGCAACCTCCTTGATAGGTTGTTCAAAAGAAAATCAAAATAAAAACCATATTTTAAGAATTATAAGTGTTGGCGAAATTTTGTACAAAACTCATTTACAAACTCCACAGAAATTGAATGTTTGGGCTGGTATTCTGGGAGACCATATTCTAGGTCCATATTTTATTGATGGTAACCTCAACAGACAAACGTGTCTTGAACTTTTTAATTCAACTGTGAACCCCAGAATCACTCAGTTACTTGAAGACAATGATAGTCTACTTGAAGGTCACCTTACAACAAAGATGGAGCTCCTCCACATTTTGTTACACCTTTACGTCAATTTTTAGATGACAATTTCACAGGTAGATGGATTGGAAGACGAGGACCAATAGAATGGACTGCTAGATCCCCCGATTTATTACCATTATACTTCTTTTCATGAGGTCATTTGAAATTCAAAGTTTATATAAGACAGCTAAATGCTCTTGATGATCTTCGCAGGAAAATTGTTGTGGAGAGTTGTGCAGTGACTCCAGAAATGTTGAAATATGTGCGAAGACATTTCGAAAATCGCTTGTATGAAACTGAATGGTTCACATTTTGAACCTTTTATATGATTAATACATTTTAGGTGGTAAAAAATAAAAATCTTGATACAATTTAGTTTTCCTTAAAACTTCAACAACACTTGATCGATCCTCAACTTCAGTACATTGATGTATTTGGGATTGAATTCCCTTCAAAATGATGTATCACAGTTAGTCCTATTGAAAGTTCTGAAGTAGGGGGTGCTGAGAATGAGGGGGTTGACAACACAATGATGATGTATTTGGTGAAAGTGTTACCCCTTGAAATAAAAATCGACGGGTCTGGACGATTTTCAATTTTTTTCACGAATTCGCAGATTAGAGGGGTGGTAATTTTAGATGGTACACACTGTATATAAATTTTGAGAAAAAAGTTTCATTGCTGCATTTGAATAAAAATGATTCTGAGTTCATAAAAAGACATTTACTCAATGAAACAATGCCGGAAATGACAGTATTTCGACTATGTTTGAGTGTACTGGAGTGACACTTGAATTGGCATTGCAAATGAGCATTCATAGTTTACTTTCATGGCTTAATGTGACCCAAAACAACATCACAAAGAAATATTATAGACATGTAATTAACTTATCATTCGGAAAAAAATATCATCAATTATATGTGCTTTATGTACTATAACTACATAGTATTCTAATTTGTATTCTATGCAGAGTTCAACCAATGATGACAATTAATAGGTACAATAATAGGAACTGTTTTGCTTAATATAATTGTTATTTTCAGTTTTTTATTTTGATTTTATTGATTCTTTCAGGGATTTCAAATCATTTCATATCATATTAGAAAATGGAAGTCTGAATTATGAAATTCAATAGGAAATAAGTTATGAGCCAAAGCTGAAGATGACTACAAATAATGTACATAAAAGTAATCAACAAATTTTCATGAAGACTCATTTTCATTTTCGATAATTCTCTTTGTTTTTATATATGTTACCAGCCAAACCCGATTTTAGGCCAAACTAGTTTCACCTAGGCTAAACTAGTTTATCCTATATGCGATCGGATAAACCGGTATAGACTAGGCGAAACGGATGATAAGGATGATAGGAGAAACTAGTTTAACCTAGGAGGAACTGGTTGGGCCTAATATGAATAAGTACACTTCAGGATAAACTAGCTTGGCCTAGGATGATCTGGTTGGGCCTTATATGAATAGGTACACTTCAGGATAAACTAGTTTGGCCTAGTCTATTCTATGCTAACAGGGAATAATAAAATACCAGAAATACGAGTAATAAAATCAAGATGTATTTATTAATTAGATCAAAATCAAATTCACTTATAATGCAAATATCGAATTCAGTTCTGAAAGAAAAAACAAATCAAAACTAATATTTTTCAATCACCAGAAAAATATGATAATGTCGACATTGAAGTATAAGTCTATTTAAAATAAGTATTATTAAAATGGGCTTTAAAAATACAGTGAGCAAAAAATCTGTACCTGCAATATAATTTCTGCAATACACCATGTTTGGTGCCAACTTTATAAAGGTCCTCATCGTTTTTCCGAAGAATAACCCCAATAATGTTTCTGAGATCACCTCTGCCTTTGTCTACGTCTGGAATTGGTATAGTTACATTGTCTGCAATGTTGGCAGGTGGATGGGATTTGTCGGAAGAAGCTTTAATTTTTTTTGCTTGTTTTTTAAGATTTTTTGCCGCCGTTATTCTAGCAACTTTAATGTTCTGTGTATCAATTTCCACAACACCGCCATCTCCATCTTCACTATGATTACTATTCGAGTCATCTTCGATAACTTTTCTGAGGTCGTCCTCATTCTGAAGATCATTTACTATTTCTTGCGGTAACGATGAAGTCGAAAGTCCTACTCTAGACTCTATCCCGAATAAGTCCTTGTAAGGCGATTGTTTTATTCCTGAGTGAAAGGCACGGTTTTTCATGAACTGGACATATCTTAAACCCTCCGACCATTTCGTTGAATTGTTGTCCTTCAGCCAAAAACTTATCATGACTTTGACTGTGCCTTGGTTTTCCATGCACAATTTTAAGTTCTGGCCAAAGAGTTGCGAGCTCACTAATCACATTATTGACAAATTCTCTACCATTGTCAGATTGGAGAATGCATGGTGCTCCTATAGTTAGAAATATATCATTCAGGTTGTAGGCAGGCCACTTCTGCCGCTCTCTTAGATGTTAACGCACGCAGAAGAACAAATTCTGTTAAATGCTCTTGGTAAACCATAATAAATTTGAATTGTTCATCCGGTTGTGTCTGAAAATCGATCAAATCCACCTAGCATCTGCTATTCATTTCAGAGTGAAGAATCTGCTTTGAAACTAGTCCTTTCTTCTTTTTTGTCTTCTTTTGTTGACATACATCACACATTGATAAATAGAGGCTTATCATTTCTTTTGTGATATTAGCATATTTTTTTGATGTCTCGGCTAACATTCTGTCATGTCCTTCATGTCCAACCGCCACATGAGCTGCGTCAATCACATCATAAAGCTCATCAGCCTGTAGATAGTATTTTATATTCCCTTCCCTCCGTGCCATTAGTTTTTTTATCCAAATCGTTTGAGTCGTCTTTGTTGTAAAGGTGTCCTTTATTCCGACTTTTTAGCATCTTCCACTTGTTCAACCAGTTCTGAATATTTATCTGATAACAACACATTATAATGAGAAGACTTTTTCTTTTCACTTTCCGCAATTTCTGCTACAAACTTTTTTCTCCACTTTTTTTGATCTGCTTGTCTATTAGATGTAGAAGGCTCATCCATGATTACATAAAACAAAACCGAAAAAATATACTTTCATCTTTTCAAAACACGAGTATCAACTAACACGTCCTCAATTCAAAGCAGAATGAGCGTAACTGGGCAAGCGACAACGTGAGAAATACGATCGGGGGATCCCCAAGTGCACTGGTCTCGACACGTACCTACTCACTTAATTTGTCCCTGTTAGCATAGAATAGACTAGGCCAAACTAGTTTATCCTGAAGTGTACTTATTCATATTAGGCCCAACCAGTTCCTCGTAGGTTAAACTAGTTTCTCCTATCATCCTTAGGACAGACCCGTTTCGCCTAGTCTATACCGGTTTATCCGATCGCATATAGGATAAACTAGTTTAGCCTAGGTAAAACTAGTTTGGCCTAAAATCGGGTTTGGCCGCTAACATATATAATTTAGTGTTTTTTAAATGATACGTCTCACTATTACTCATATTATGTAAAAATTTGAGTTTATCGATTTTTCCAGAGGATCATTCAATGTTACATGATCATACTACACTCAAAAATCTTACTTCACTATCTCAGCTTGTGAAAAAACAGATGCACACATGGGAGGTTTAAAGAAAAATTTTTTTTACAAAAAAAATTGGTTCTAAACAAAATATTTTTAATGAAATTCAGAAGTAGTAGCGTACTATATGGGCAAGCAGTATGCATAGTTTCAAATTAGGGATGAAATTTNTCGATAATAAAAACTATGAACAAGAGCGGACCCAAATTGGATCCCTGCGTGATGCCTGAGGTAGATATGTAGTGATAGCATGTAAATCCACCAAATTCTATAAATTGAGGTCTATCGAGTAAGCATGATCGCATGAGTGGCTCAGGAAAAGTAACTGCTCTGAATTTATGTAACAGTAAATAATGGCCAATACTATCGAATGATTTTTGAATATCGGTGTGAATAACACCAATGTCACCTTGAGAATCAAGAACTTAAGGATATATCTTCGTTATTCAAGCAAATCTGGTAACTGTAGATCTCCTGGTCATGAAACCATGCTGACTCGGTGGGATACTGTTTCTGGCTGACTGATAGATGAAAAATATAATATTATTTCAAATAATTTTCCAAAGTTACATAAGATGTCGATCGGTCTATAGTTGGCTATGTCTGTTAGATCACCCGATTTCAATACGGGACAGATCTTAGTCAATTTCCACATAGTTGGATAGGTATGAGTTTTAATAATACTATTGAAGATATAACGGTTTTGCAAGAACATTGATGCACTCATTGGGTATACTTTCAACTCCAGAAGTCATTTTATGTTCGAGTTTCTTCGATGATTTAGTAATGTTATATTCGGTAATCATTTACTGTGCCAACCTGCCAGAATTTTATCGGGGTTAGATGGAACAAAAACATCAGAGAATTGGAAATTGTCAAATGTTTTGTATTTGTCATTCATGATGCCAGGAATTCTGGACTTTGTTTTCTTAAGCTGAACAAAACTCCAAAATTTGTTTGGGTCATAAAATATTCCTTTCAATTTTACGCAGCCATATAAGCCTCAATTTCACGACGTAGATTTTTGAATTAGAGCTTGCAGGTGAGTGTATGCTCTACATATTTTTGTGAAAAGTGTTCGATGTAGTTATTTTTTTTCTTTCTTTCTTTGGATGTTTCCCATATTGGAGAAGTAGAAAGCCAGAAAGTTTTAAAAATGTATACAATTCAAAAACGGGTTGAACAAAAAATCTAAACTATAAATTTCTTGGTCTGTGTGCCAAGTTTGATCAGAATCTGAGATGGTGAAGTTGAATTTTCAAGTGAAGTGTGATTATTTGATATGTGGGTCGTTACACATAACAAATAATCACACTTTGGATGAATATAGAAAAGTAGGAAGTCAAAAGCTTTGTTTCCCAAAAATTAATCTCACTTCAAAATATCCCCCTTTTAATTCAAACAAGATTCCTATGGCTGGGATTCAATAATCAAATAAACGTCATCACGTACTGTCATCGATGACTAGATTGAACTCATTCGTTACAGAAAGTCGTAATTTTAGAAAGGAATTGAGTGCTTCATCTCATAATATTATTCAGATTGGTGCTGAAGAGGCAATAAGAGATGTGTCTTATTTCGAAACATCGGATGTCCACCAGTGAGGATGACAATGTTCCATGCGTAAGTGAAATGTTACCTCTTTAATTTACTATATTGTGTATTAATCCTGTGAATGATATCTTATTCAATTCCATAACGAACGTTCACAAAAGATTCGCACATTTTTTTACACGAAGATGGAGAAGTAGGAAGCCATAACGTTTCTTTCCCAAAAAGTAATCTATCCTAAAAATACACCCCTTATAATTTAGACCAGGGGTCTCCAAACTACGGCCCGCGGGTCAAATCCGGCCCGCCAGTATCATCAATCCGGCTCGTGACAGCCAATGATTTACTGTCATCAATCTGGCCCGCGACAGCCAATGATTACCTAATTGTTGTTACTATTGCTGTGATAAGTTGAAGAAGAAAACACAGAATGATAATTAATCGGTTTTATTTACTTGCAAGGTAAAACTTAACGACAGAAATGATGGCAAAGAAAACTCAACTTAAGCATCTGAGTTTAAGCATATTAATCACTAACAAATAATTGAAATGAATCACAGTAAAACAAAAACACTAATGAGATTTATGTAATTGTGATTTTCCACCGACAATACTTTGTAGTTGTGGATCAATTTTACTTGTACCAATTATCAAAAGAGATTTAAGATGCTCATCGGTTAATTGAGATCTGTAAACATT